CTACTACTACTACTACTACTACTACTACTACTACTACTACTACTACTTACTACTGCTACTACTACTACTACTGCTACTTAGCACCTACCTGACTACTTCCATGCCCAACGCTTCGCCGCCCAACTCGGTCCCACGAGGCCTTTCTGCTGGTCTATTCGCAGCTCTCGGCGAGACCCGAACTGCTGAAGACCTTGGAAGGCGGGATCCGGCGGCTCAGGATGCCGCAGATCCGGCGGACTGGGAGCGGAAGAACAGTCAGTTCTCAAGCCTATGATGCAGATGAGAGGGCACTCCTGTACTCCTTTTGAGAGAGAAAAGTCTTGTTAAGAAGACACTTCTTTAATTAGCCTCCTAGTTCCCCAAAAGCTGGGCAACTACAGGTTTTCATGGAGTTTTTTTTTTTTTTTTTTTTAAGTCCTTCATCATCACTTGGGATTGGAGGGTCCTGAGAGGGGGATATGCGGTATAAGTTGAGCAGTATATAATTACAGTTTGACTGAAGCTGAAGCACACCCAATTGGCCGTGAAGGGCCCATTGTTTTGTTCACCCCTCTCTACCAGTTTCATCTCTTCCTGGAGCATGCTTTTGAAAAGGGTGGACGAAATACATAAAACGCTATAGCCAATACTAGCCACAAATTATGACACCCTTCTAAAAAAAGGAATCTACAACACCACGAAGCATCACAAAAACAGCTTACACCTTGGTTTGAAGATGTTTGCATCGGTTTCCATGTCTATTTCCAGGGACCGAGACCACACTGAGATGACCTCGGGACTGCCTGACACGCGGCAGGTGAGTTGCCCTTGGGCCCCGACGTCGTTCTGCAGGACTGGCAGACACTGGCGCTGGCATCACCACCACATAGCAAGGGTCGCGGAGGCTGTAAGGCTGTAAAGGACGAATCCCTCGGGCCCTCGGCACACCTGGTCCAGTGTGAGGAAGTGAAAGAGCTTGGAATCGAAGCACCGACGACCGACGGACGACCGACGGACGACCTGGATTGAAGAGACATGCCATGTGCCACACATGGGGTAGCTTCACTTCGACCTGTCAAGTGAGTCACGCGTTGGCAGGAGCTGCTGGAGATGGCGGAGCTGGCACGGAGCATCACCGACTTTTGCTTCAAATTGGTTTCTCGGCTTCACCACTGCGGCGCGGCGGAGCGGCGCGTTTTTCAGGTGTTGAGATGTGGTAGCTGTGCAGAAAAAGATGTGAACAACACCCGTCCCGAAGCCTTGGATATGAACAACATCTCCGGACATTGCGGACATGGGAGTCTCCCATGCTCCGGACTGTTCGCATGAGTGATGGATCCCCACGTCCAAAGGATGAAAACCTGGTGAGGATGAAGACCTTGGCTGAAGCAGCAAGGCCGTTGGTGAACACTTGAACAATGTCAAACAACTGCACTGCACTACGCACATTTGTTCTCTTGTGCTGGGCCTAAGGATCAAGAAATGAGTCAGAAGATTTCGGCAGAACAAGCTCAGTTCGAAGTTGATGCCGCTTATGGTAAAGCTCGGGCAGGTAGTTTCGCGTAGATGCGCCAGTTGGGTCCGTCAGATGAGCAATACCCAGCCCTCAAAGCATGGAGCAACTCCACACCATCGGAGTGCGATAGTTCAACTCGTTGAGGATCCAATTACTGTATCCCCTTCCCAGCTGCTGCTGGACATCCCTTTTCGCTGAAAAGACGTGCGCTGCGCAGATGAAGAACGGAGTGCGGAGTGTATCTGAAGAAGCTCAGGTGATGCACGGAAGCATCACCCGTGAGCTCTTTTAGGGATGTCCAGGGCAGGGTTTGGCGGGTCTTCCACGAACTGGACATCAGAGACAAAGGCAGGCCCAATGAATGATGGTCTAAGTGGTCTAAGGGAATCTATCTCAGAATCTATGTCAGGGTGGTTCACCCATGCAAGGTGGGTCATGTGCTGAACCACTATGCATCACTATGCTGTAGGCTGTAGCTGCTTCGGTCAGTTTGCTTGGCCTTTGCTCCCACAAGAGCTATATAGCAACCACATGCAACCACTACTGCCTATACGAACTAAGTCAACCTCACATTCCACCCCCCTTGCCATTTGGCTCCACTTTCGGGAGCCCGCGCGATGCCAGAGAGGCCGCGATGCCGGAGGGACGGAGGATCGCCTTCCCTCGCCCTCACCCGGTCCAACTCCATCGGTCGTCGTTTCGAGGAGCGGAAGTTGGACCCCAAGTGGGTCGATATCTCGGACCCCAAGTTCGTATTGGGTTTCAGGCCAGGATGTTTCAGGGTGCTTGTAAATATATATATATATATACTGTATATATAATATCTATTGTATAAATTGTAGCAGAAGGTTTTTTAGATGTGAATCGCTTCGGAAGTTTGTGTGTGGCTTTGTCCGTACCCTAGGGCTCCTGGCCCATCTCAGAAGGTGGTTAGACCCCCCTGGCACCCACCCCAACCATCTTCTCAGGAGGTGGTTGGAGCGCTAGCTATACGTGGACTCGTTCGGCCGGGCATGCAGGGCCTACTCGGGCGGCTCGACCGGCCTGTCGGACTTCAAGCAGTGACCGGGCCGAGCTCGGGATCGACCTGGGTGAGGGCCGGGCTAAGGTGGGTGAGGAAGGTGGTTGAGGAGGACACGTTTTCCCAGGTATACTCCCCCGCAAACTAACGAACCTGAGAATTGACCAGTGGTTTCGAGCATTTTCCGAATACCAACCCAGTGGTTTTGGGGTTCCATGTCAACCTGCAGGGGAGTAGATGTAGAAGCTCTTCTAGTTCAGAAGCTTCAAGGTGCTGGTGTTTCTTCTACTTTGAAAAGCCAACCAGCTTAAAAGCATAGTGAGGACTATCACTATTCAAAAGGAAGCAAGATGTGTTTTCCCCTAATTATAGGGTCCTCCACCCCAGAAATCATATTCCTTCTCTAAAGCAGCCTCTATATTTGATCATTTGCGGTTTGTTCTTGAACCCTCCAAGATGTATGTTTCCAAGGTGACCAGAGGCCTTTGGGCTGATGTTGGGAGAGCCTTTCACGAGCACGAATCGATGTTAGAGGCGAACGCAAAATACTCCTACACTCCAGTCCAGTCATCTCCAGTCGCTATTGCGAACAGTGGGGGAACCATCTTCAGTGCTCCACGTCGTGGGGTGCACCATGCTGCATTCCACAACGGACCAAGGGTGGCGCTCTTGGGTGAGGGCGCTTACTCTGCTGTTTACAAGGCAGGGGGTGACTGAAGGAGTCCTTTGAGCCAGTTTCGACTTCGTAGGTAGCACGATGGTGGCTCCTTTTTGGATTGGTGACATGAATGAACCCACTCTTTTGGGTTTTTGTTTCCTGTATGATTGATTGACATGATGGCAGCTGTTGGGTCTCTCCCGATTCTCAAGGAATACGTTTCTCGAAGTGGGTTAGACTCATAGACCTATATAAATTACTGCGCTACCATTCACAGAATCAAAAGCATATTGCATGGGTGCTTCAGCTATTTTGGGTAGATAATCCCGGCAAGATGCCCGAAACAGTGTTGTCCTTGAGGTCGTCTAAGGTCTTGTGGCGATTTGTGGTGTAGAAGGTCTACAGATCTGAATCTAGACGTTTTGGGCTCCAGACAGACCTAGAGATGTAGAGGTCTAAAGATCCAGTGGTCTAGAGGTCTAGACAAATCAAAATGCCTAGAGACTCTTGAGATCCAAAGAGGCCTAGCTTTTGAGACCCGGAGAGGTCTTGAGATCCAGATGTATCAAGAGCTCTAGGTCCAGAGATGTCCAGAGGCCCAGGAACCTAGAGGTTTCAAGTTCTAGAGAATCTAGACTTTGAGAGATCTCGAGATCCAGAGAGATCTAAAAGTCTCGAGTTCTAGAGGGATCTAGAAGTCTAAAGGTCTGGAGAAGGTGTTGTCATGGCCGAGAGATCTACAAAAGGTTGGAGGTTTACAGATCTGGAGGTCTGGAAATCTGAGATTCAGAGAGATAGAGGCCGACCTCTTGAAATCCAGAGATCTTGAGATTGAGAGAGATCTAGAGCTCTGAATCTGAAGATCTGGAAGCTTCTAGTTCCAGAGGTTTAGGGACCTAGAAGTCTAGACGTCTTGAGACCCGGAGATATGTATCAGAGGTAGAGATAGAGATTTAGATGCCTGCAAGGATCTACAGAGATCTAGAGGCCCAGAGGCCTAGAGGTCTGGAAGTCTAGAGAAGACAGATATGAGCACATGTAAGAGCTCGCATATATGAGACACGTTTGAGAGCACACGCACGACAGCACACATATATGAGAGCACACATCAGAGCACGCTCACATATTTGTCCCCAACTTCAGGTCACAATTCATTGCACCTTCCATGCAAGCAGAGCACGCTGAAGACCATCACCACGTCCAAAGTACTGCGCCTGCTACGCCTGCATATCGAGGTAAAGCCGCTTATCTCCAGCACCTGCCACGAAAAGTCAGCTTCAGTGCCAGATGTCAAGTCTGTCCTCCCCCGAAGTGCCGCGCCCGGTTCGAAGAGGAGTCCTCCTCGCCATCCAAACGAATCCCGAACCTGAAGCAAAACTCAAACCCCGAAGCAGAAGAACCTGCCCTCGGGACGGAAAATACGTAGATGAACGTGGTACGCACATGTGCGAGGATAAGACTTCAACGGCCAGGGTGGGGAAGCAGGGAAGCAGATGCCAGATGAGTTCAATTGGAATCCAACGTCAAGTTGCATCCAAATACTAAGGGTGCAACATGTTCTTGCCGACAAACAGTCTCGACTCATGGTCATAGATCTCCGTCCTTCGTTTGTTGCTACTGTTTGGACTCAGGATCAGCTATCAATCCACCGAGGTAGTTAGTACGTAGTCATCATCCTGGTTGGAATGGGCAATCCGCTAGCAGCATCCCACAATTTTGTTGAAACCCTGGAAACCTGGAACACCCCAGCTGTGCAATCATAATTTAAACGTCCAACCATGCCCAACCATTGTCTTGCAGATTGTCTTCTATTTGGCCCGCATGTCTTGGTCACCACACCATGACGTGGAGTGCAACGTCGTCACACCGTGAGGTCCTACGAGTCGCAGATAACGAGGCAAGGTTTTTTCAGCATGGGCAGGTTTGTCATGAAGTTAGATGAACAACACTTGGAATTGGTAATTGGTGGTGCTTTAATAATCTTTATATATAATTCATTCTGTATAGACCGGGTGTGGAAGATCTTGGGATAACAGGGTTGTTGGTGGTATATTCATGTATATCATATAACTGATATTGTTTATGCTGAAACAGGGAAGAAGGCATTGAACACAATCCATGGATGGATGTCCAATTCAACTCCAGCCATTGAAAAGACCGCAGGTGTAACGCAGGATGGAATCCTTAGATGCACGGAAGGGCCCCTAAGTTGCCATGAGTGCCAAGTTGTTCAAGGTTGTACAATCCTGGTTGTTCCACTTGCATTTCTTTGGTGACCAATGAGCATGCTGATTCGTCACACCTACAAACTACCAGGTTTGTGGCTGAAAGATGAATTCACAGTTTTACCTCAGCTGGAACTTGGGATCAAAGGTTCAGGCAGGGAAATACGTCAGTAGCTTCCAGCCCAATCATTTGACAGGAATATACAGTCAACTCGATAGCAGCCATGTTTTTCTGAATCTGGTTGGTTTTTCCTTGCTTTTTTTTCGCGGACAAACACTATATATACATCAACATGTGGAAGAGGGTTAAGAGTCACATCCCCTCAGACCTTCCAGCATTTCTGAGGATGTCAATGCTGCGATGAGGCTGTCGCTGCCTGATCTCCAGCCAGGTCTATGCCCTGAAGAAGGTGAAATTGCCGTCCCTCTCGGACAAGGAGATGTTTATTTCCGGAACCAGCACTAGAAAACAAAGATATCCTGGGACTCCGAAGAGATGCGCGAACGCACATTGAGAAAAACACATGATGCTTTTTGTGTGCAGAACGTGAGAACATTCCTAGAACCCATGCTGAAGAACATTATTGTATATACCTGTTTTTGGTTAAACCCTGCGAGTACATAGATGCCTGAGAAATGCTTTGCAATGATGCATGAGACGTGCCCGCGGTTCAAAGCCAAGCACTATCATGCAACTTTAAAATGCCTGCATGAAAAGAACGAATGTGTGAACACAAGCACAGGCATTGAGTCTCAATGTGGTCTTTTGCTGGTTTTGGCCACGTAGCAATGTGTTTTGACGCGGAGAGGGGTTTTGCATGGTGAATCCTGCAACGAGGTGACGCGAAGATAGAGGACATGAATGAAGCTAATGATGCCCTCACAGACCACATTTCAGAGACAACATGACATTTTTCGGTAACGTCGCCTTTAAAGTATATCGTTCAAATAAATGCCCGTTCGATTGTTCAATAATCGCATATGTTTAAAAAAACTATACCGTGTTTTTATTGGGCCATGAGCTGCGCCGGACCAACTGCTGCGGTCTCAGGTCCACACCTTCGTTTTCTCGAAGGAGGATTCATCGGAAAAAACGACGGACTGACTAAGCAGACGGACAATGGAAAGCATTTCATGAATTTCATGCGTCTTAGAGTCTTTTTTATGTGTGTTCTTCTTTTGGTGAATTATGGACAGAAAATCGGATGTAACTTCTATGACGAACTTCCCCGTTGGGGCTGCGTTGGGGTCAGGTTTCGAGCGGAGGTGAATGGCTGGTTGTTAGATCTGTCCACGGAGGTGCCACTCCTGATATACCAGCACCTTCCAAGGGGTCACCAATGGAAGCCTTTACACTACATATGGATCCCCATTGGACACCCCTTGGAAGGTCCAGGCATGCTTGTTTGCATTTGCCATAAATGGTAACAAGTACTTGGCTGCAGCATTTGTTTGAGCCTCAGGGTGGAGACGGTCTCTTTGGGTGCGTCATTTCCTGATTGCCATGGCGCTCGAGCTCAATGAGTATATCAACAGGACGACCGGCATCGTGAATTCAGCCCACGCAGCCAGGGGTGCGAATCTACAGGATCAATTCGAGTCTTGCTTGAATTTTCAGAGAGGGATTGAAAACTGATGGAAAAAACAGTGCCCCTGTTTAGGTTGATGAAAGCCACTGCCGGTTTAGTTTCCAAACCTGTGCAAGAACAAGGTAGCGGCGTCATTAATGACCCCGTTTTTGTTTAAAAGTATTATTCCTAACATGAAACTCCACGAGGACGATGTTTTTAATCGTTTGCGAACTGTGTTTCGACCGTTATTTGCAGGAGAACGAGCAATTTTGTCAGAATTTGATTGTGTAAAGTGTTTCGGTCCGAAAACAACGAAATTGGTCACCAACATAAATTGCTGCAGAGCTATATGCAACACTTCAAGAATCAGCGGATCAGCGGTGGAACTTTCACTCCAGGTTTTCAACAAGCTATCTTAAGATACCACAGGTCTACCTCAAACCATGATTGCAATGATTAGGGGAGCTGATCCACCCCTGTCCACCCCCCTAACCTCAACAACACAACGAAAGCCAAAGCTAAAGCGGAAACATGCGGAAAATTCCGCCATACGAGCAACAAAACTGCGTCCGGATCGACGACGGAAAATCACATCTCAGTGAGGCGTGTTGACCCAAAACGGTCCAGCCACCAAATATTCCAGCACTCCATGTAAGGAATATTTGCCGAAATGGCACGCTGGATGGGCGTTGATGATGTGGGATCCCAGACCATCCTTGCTGTATGCTATCCACGCATGGCCATAGAAGACTTATAAAATCTAAGGTTAGATATGATAAATAATCCAGACGGGTTTGAAACATGCATGTGTGCAAGAAAACATGTGCGCAATACAGCACGCTTCGTGCATACATATTGGTGTGCAGAGCGCAGAAGAGTTTCCTTTGTGCGGGAGTGCAATTGAACTGAACGTTAACATCCCACCCCACCCCACCCCACTCTCAGTCACTTGTATTGTGTGCGTAGCGTAGAAAGGTTTCGGCTGTATGGGTGTGCAGTTTGAACCGAACGTTAACATCCCAACCCCACCCCAGCCCACCCCCCCCCACATGCTATGATGTGCATGACGGACACGAATGTCAAAAAGACTTGTAAATACCACACGAAACTACAAATTGCCACAAATACCGCAGGAAATCGTGTGCAAACCCTCAAAAACAGCGGGGTCGTTAATGACACCGCCAGCAAGAACAAAAAACCGCTTCGAAGGACACCAGGCCTTGCTTCCTACTGTAAGACCACTCCCTACGCACAGCAGCTCCTGCTATTGGAAAAATAATGACAGATTATGTCATGCAAAGTTTAAATTCAAGCCGCCAAAAGATGCATATGTATATAATATATATTGACCACCTCCACCACAAGCGGTTACCACATTATGCGACAAATGCCACCTGACACGAGCTCGTGTCAGGTTCAACGAGACAGTACTTTGTGCCGATTTGTGCCTGTGCGTATTCTACAGCATGTCTGTGATGTAGATGCTACACCCCCGCCAAAGCACGGCAGGTGATAGGGCTGCACGAGCACGAGACATCCCAAAGGTATCCTCATATATGGGCCTTTGGGCAGTTGGGCCTTTGGACAGTTGCGATCCTGGTTGCTGCAGTAGGCTAGCACAGCTGAGGACTGTACTGGAGAGATCATCGATGCTGCTAATCAAATGATGAATGCGGGCCAGAAGCTCACGGTTGATGACATGCTCGAGGAGATTGAGGTTTTTTGATATTTGGACCTACTATATATTTGCATATACATACACAATCATACACATACATAGTTGGCACAATGCTCGGAATTGACAGAATTGATCCACTTCACATCACTTCACTCTATAGAGTGTATGCCTCACTTTCTGGTGTTTTTGTGGTCAAAGTCCGTCGGGCTAGTCACTAACCACGCCTAGGCCAACTCTTGGATATTTGGTGGGGGGGCCGGTTGGTACGGACTGGGACCATTTGGCCAATTGAACTTCTAGAAGTGGTGACACCCAAGACAACAATGCACTCCTGCTCCCACCAACCTTCCCATGGAAGACTGGTGAACCGACCCATCTCCTGTATTGCACTTTAAGTGTGGCTGCACTTCCCCCCCCACCCCATGCATCCCTTTTGACAGGCCGAGGCTGCGCCACGAATACCAGAGCATCATCCCGAGCGCGAGTGGCAAAAGCAAGGCTTGATGATCAATGCCTTGGCTCATGCCGCCCGCTGGGCTGCCAGCGATGCCATGGACGGCTCCACGCCCTCAGCAGACAACGCCGAAGCCAGCGAACGCGGCGAAGAGCCGGAGGCACCCGCGCAGGGCGAGGCGCTTTGGGTGCGGTTTGGGAGCGGGTAGAAGTCACATGAGGCCAAACCATCGAAGCCACCACCCGCCTACAGAGGTTCCATTTGGGGATTATGTTCTGTTAGATGAGCGCATTCCAGGAGGTCATCATTCAGGCTTTAATCGACTCACTTCGCCCCATGCTGCGGACGTTTTTGGCGCAGACCAGAAGGAAACCAAGACACTCAGATGTGCTGCGCTAGGAGTGTTTTCCTTTGTGTGTCCAAGGATTTTCAACGGGGTCGCGGCCCGTTTATTCTGCTGCTAATCAATCCATGTTAAACATGCGCATGCTGCGTCTATTGCTCCATCCTGTTCCAGTCTCTCCATCCAACAATGCGAGGAAAGCTCTTCGTGGTCTGCGACGGGACCATCGGGTCGGGTAAGACGACATTGCTCAATGAGATTGAAGAAGATCGTCCGGCCGGCGTGGTGATTCATCGCGAGCCGGTGGAAGAGAAATACGAGAAGACATGGTGGCCACTATTGACTCAATTCTACCATGCAATGGAGACTTGGCGCCGGATGATGCATGTGTGCAAGTCAGCCCATTTTCGGATGTGACAGGATTTCAGCATTATGTGAGCCCGACAGCATGCATTATTACGACAGATCATCAGAAATCATAACTATGTATACATGTACCTGGACCCTCCAAGGGGTGTCCAATGGACTACCCCACACTACCTATAGGCTTCCATTGGGCACTCCTTGGAGGGTCCTGGTACATGTACATTCAGATGGGATATTACTAGGAGGAGATGAGAAACAAAAGAAAACAGATCGGCGACTTCGGACCCGAATGGCCAACCTGTCATGTCGTTGACTCATTGCTGATGTGATGATTCTCCAGCACGTGGGAAGAGGCACAAGCCCCGTAGACTACTCTGGAGCTGCTGTCCATTGTGCAGTAGAAAAAATCCTTACAAGTCCAAAGACCTACAACAACCTGGCCTTTTTTCTCCTCAAGTACTGTTTTTGTATGACCAACTCCAGTAAAATGAGCTCATTGACTGGTAAGGATTACTTGACAATACTTGAAACTGTTTTCAGCCCCGAGAGAGAAAGCGGTTTTGTATGTCTTGCCAGTGGTGGAGGCCATTGTAGGCCCATGAATTCGTGGCAACACTGCACGACTTAGGAAGAGCTGAAGAAATGGCAGACGAAGGCCGAACAAACAAACAGTTTTTTCCACCACAGAAGTCATGTGCAGGCTGTGCAGTGTGGGAGGGGGAGGGGGGAGAAGCATGTGAATGCAAAGAATTCAGTACCCGGGTCCAGTTTTTGACTGTTGTTGTCATATGTAATCACCAAAATCCTTTAGCTGACCTGTGAAGCGGTTGCAGTTTCCATTTGGAGTGCCACAGGCGGGGTGTTCGCACCATGTAATAACCTAGGTACTGTACGTGCTTGCTAAACACGGTGAATGCCTGGACTCTGGACGCACATCCCTGTAGGAGGCTGCTCAGAAGGCAGAGACGGCGACCCGTGCGCTGGAGCACGCCATCTGGAATCATCATAAGACCATTGCAGTCTTG